ATTCTTTATTTTCGATTTTTAATTTATTTTGCTATACGAAAACGATTTTAGAGATTTCGAATAACATCGTCTCAATGAGTTAGGAGATAGAGAACTAAAAGTGTCCATCGTAAAACTCGCATCTTATTCGTTTTATCGATGGTGCATATTAACACTTATCTTTAAAGAAACGCCTGTAAGTTACACATATGGAAAAACGATTTTTAAATCGAAAATAAAGAATAAAATTTTTTCTTATCATCCTTTATTTTTGAGATATCTTCCCGAAAAGTTGTAGATTTAGCAAAATTCGTCGAAATTGTTGGATTTAAAAGGAAATGTCTCATAAATGAAAGATAATATGATAAAACGCTATTCTTTATTTTCGATTTTAAATTTATTTTTCTACACGAAAACAAATTTGGAGATTCCGAGAAACATCGTCTCAATGAGTTAGGAGATTAAGAACTAAAAGTGTCCATCGTAAAACTCGCATCTTATTTGTTTTATCGATGGTGTATATTAACACTTATCTTTAAAGAAACGCTTATAAGCTTTGCATATAGAAAAACGATTTTTAAATCGAAAATAAAGAATAAAATTTTTTCATATCATCCTTTATTTTTGAGATATCTTCCCGAAAAGTTGTAGATTAAGCAAAATTCGTCGAAATTGTTGGATTTAAAAAGAAATATCTTAAGAATGAAAGATGATATGATAAAATGCTATTCTTTATTTTCGATTTTGAATTTATTTTTCTATCCGAAAACGATTTTGGAGGTTCCCAAAAAAGCCATCTCAATGAGTTAGGTTATGTAATATTTAAATTTTTATTTCTTTATAAGATATTATTTAGATTAAAAAATCTTGAAGAATGAGTCCAAACTCGGTATTAATATCTTTCAAAACAACAGAGATACAGTTATTTAAACATTTGATCTTTTTAAGGTTATGTTCCAAACCGGAAGTGATCATATCTTCGCTATTTTTTGATATAAACCCATCGTGTTTGGACTCATTTTAAAGGATTTTTCATTTTCTAGAAGATTACACATAAAAAAACATATTTTGTTTAGGTTATATTAGCTTCTAGTTGGATAAAATTAATTTAATCATATATCATTGATAAATCAGCTAAATCAGAAAAGTTTTGTTAATTTATTTTTCAAAATTACATTTATGTAGTTTCCCTATGAACAATATGGTGCATTAAACGTCAATTTAGTGTACATCAACGTTTATTGTTCATTAAACACTTCATATTTCCGTCTAAGTCTGGATTTGTTGCAAAATTAAAATGTATCAAAGGAAGTTTTGTAAAATACGTTTCCTTCGTATTTCCACTATCTTCTTTCGCGTTCTTTACACCTTATATCCAGACGAATTCCCCTCATACCCCGTCGTCAATCCTCCCAACGACACCATCTCGACAGGCTCACCACCGCATCCGGGGTCCCTCGTCCACCGGTAAATGCAGGCGTGAATCTTTAATGCACCCTCCGAAGCGAAAACCCACCCTTTTCTGGTCGTCTGTGCCGAGTCCTTGCGGTGCCCGGGAGAAAGGTAGAAAGTAAAAGGAAGCCAGACGAGCTTATCGCATCCTTCAGCGAAGCATTACTTTCTCCTCTTTACAATGTTTTACTTATTTACCCCCCCTGGAAGGAATAAAAAGTTCTACGACGACCAAGGAAGATAATTCCCGTAAAGGTTTAAAATGAAAAAGTAATAAAGTGAAAAAAGAAATTTTTTTTTTTATAAAAGGATTAGAATTTGTTTATTTTAATAAAAGTTTTTGATATCTCCACCAGGTGACGATGTAATGTCAATTTTTATACCCATATAAAAATTGATATTATTGGGGTTATTTCAATAATTACTAATTTCATCAAAATCTTTATAAAGCTAAATTTGCTTAGAATAAACTTACATTACAAATTGCATTTTTTTAAATAACGTTAAGTTAATTATTTCCCCCTGAACAGTACGTTGCATATCATATTACGGTAATTCACGATATCTCAAAAAATATTATTTTTATTGCATAATCTTTCAGATAAAATCTGTTTACAAAGAGATTCGAAATCGATTATTTTAATAAAATAAAACAAATGTTGTGCTCTTATGAACGTATTAATTTATATTTTCTCTACCGGTTTCGCAGTTTATAAAAATAAAGTAACTGCATCATCAGGAGAATCCTTAAAATACAAAATTAAAAAAATTATTAAAAAATTATAAGGTTCTTTCTAGTTGCTAAAGGTATTACAATTAAATCAATTAAACAAATTTATAACAATCGAGTAAACTTATCTCATATCAAAGACAGATTAACATCCAATAAATACATTAAACAGTTAAATCAAAAAATCAAACAGAAAACGATTTTAGAACGATTGGAAAATACACGTATAGCTGCAAGAGACCGTTAAACAGGAAGTGAGGTTAAGAAGTCCAGAATTCCGGTGGAAAAATATAAATTTAAGTGGGTACTTATTGACAGATTTCAACCAATCAAATTATTAACATCAAACTAATTAAGGGGGAATTCTGAGTAGGATGGAGAGGGAAGGGGGAGGTAAACAACGAACTCAAGGACGGGGTTTGTGAATGTTTTAGGTTGTATCAATTTTTAGGTTTCTTCGGTGGTGGTGTAAATGGCTGCTAAGACTAAGGTATAATGGAACCTGTGTGGCTTGCGTTTGGCTATTGAGACGTTTAATTTCGGGATGATTGTGTTTGAATTTATTAATTTCATAGACTTCCATAATGTCCATGAGATCTCCTTTATTGAGATGATGAATTATTGAAGATGAAATGTCTTCCAAAGTTTGATTTTTCTTTATTTTTATGCTCTTTAATTCTAGTTCTTAGGGGTCTCCCTGTCTCTCCGATATAGGTGGCTTGACATGTATTGCAGGTTAACTTATATATACCATTGTCATCTAACTTATCTCTTTCCTTTAGCATTTGATAAAAGTTTATAAATCGTATTTTTATTCTTAAAGGTCAGATTAATGTCATATTGTTTAAGTTTTGTCTTTATTTTATTGGTTAAGTTACCTTGGAACGTGATGGCTCTATATTTTTGTTTCTTAGGTGTATTTTGGATTGTCAAAGTTGTGTTTTGTGTTGTGAAAATTCTGGTTTTTGCCTTGTTAAGAATTCTTTCGATGAAATTCACAGGATATTTGTTATTTATAGCAATCTGTTCAATGATTTTAAGTTCTTTCTCCAGTGAGGTAGCATCAAGGTTTGAGTTAAAGGCTCTATAATATAAAGCATTGATAGCTGCACACTTATGATTGATACAGTGGTAGGAATCGTATGGTATAATAGCAATAGTTTTGGGTGGGTTTTCTGTATATATTGTATAATATGGATTTACTTTCTTTTCTCATCGTCACATTCAAGTCTGGCCATTATCAACAAAACTTTTACAACACTTTGCTATTTTCTTAAACGAAAGATCATTGAGGTGTCTCAAGAAGAACTAAATATTATGACAATATATTTTCCTTTTATAACAAAAAATATTTCAAAAAAAGACTGTTTAGCAGAACAAGGTTCTAATCTGTATATTAGAAATTAGTAACCAAAATAACTCGAAAACGAAAAACGTTAGGTACCAATAACTTGTATCAAAGTCAACCTATTTTTTTACGTACAATTAAACGGTGTAATAAAAAGTATAGCATTCCATTTAAAATAACGAAGTTATGGTCTACTTCCGGTAGACCAGAAGTGGCGGCCATCTTGAAAATATTTTAAATCGAAAGTTCCGAATGAACAACCCATGCTACCAAAATTTCAAATCTCTACGAATAGTGGAACCTGAAAAAGTTCTAACGAACCAGTTACGTGAGACACCCTGTATAAAGAAGTGGAGTTATTAAAAAACACTTTTTCACAAAAAGTGATTGTTTTTTAACAATGAGAATTTCTTTTGCCAAAAAAGGTCTAACAGGTAAACGCGCAAGTTCTTAAAAACTTTTTACAAGAATGTTATTGTTTGTTGTAGTTAAAAAACAATAATATTTATTTCAGTGAATTTAATGTTTATACTTAGTGCCTGCAAGAGTTAAAACACCTCTTTATTAAAAAAAATTGTTCGTAATAATGTTTCAATAATACAGTGAAAATGGCAAAAAATGAAATTTTGCATGATTGTCGTAAATTAACGATATCTCCGGTAAAATACATTCGACCATGCTTCCATGCTTCGAAATTTAGAGAATTAAATGTTCTACAGCAGTGTTTCCCAAACTTTCAGCATATATGTACCCCTGTTGTAATTATCAAAATTTCCAGTACCCCTCGTTAAAAAAAATGTTCTTTTAGCATCAACCAAAAAATAAATATTATATTAGCATCAGTGGGATGGATGAATTTGTTTATCTTGAGATGACGCCAAATGATTATAATCAGGTTCCCTATTCGTTAATTTTAATCGAAGATGCGGCTCCACATCAAAAATCCTGTTTCTTTTTTTCGACTTAATATCGATTAATGCTGAAAACGCAACTTCACATAGATATGATGTTGGAAATGGCAAAACATGTTTTAACACTTTTTCTGTTAAATTCGGATATAGTTGTTGCATTTGCAGCCAAAAAGATGCTGAAGAACACTCTTTATGTTTATTTTTCAAAAATCCATCTGCAGATAACTCCAAGAGCTGTTCTTGTTCCACATTAGATAAATTATCTGGCATGGCAGATGAATCAATATTAAAAGGATGTCTTATCCATTCGAGGTTTGTCGTTAAATCCGGAAAATAATTTTTCAGGCCCTCTTGTAATCCGTCCAAATGCTCTGTTAAACATTTCAGAACATCCGTATCAATTTTATCAGATGATTTTATTACAAACTCATGGAGAGAGGGAAACGAGTCTAGCTCTCCATTATTAACTCTAGTTTTCCATAACTTTAATTTTTCAATTGTATACAATTGTATGCCAATTTGGATAGCCACGTTGAGTATGTAGATACTTTTTCAGTTCAAATTTATCATTAAGAAAAACTTAAAGTTCTTGTCTCAGTTCAAATAATTGACTTAAAATTTTTTCCCGAGATAGCCAACGTACATCAGTATGAAAAAGCAGTTGGGTATGGCTGCTTCCCATTTCTTCACACATTTGTGCAAAAAGTCTTGCGTTTAAAGATCGACCTTTAATATAATTAACGATTTTCACGCTTTCATCAAGAACTTTTTGCAGATCAGTAGGCATCTTACGTGTTGCCAAAGCTTCTCTGTGAATGCAACAATATGTGGACTTGACATTTGGTGCACCCTTCTGAATTTTTGCAACGAGTCCTTTATTAATGCCGACCATACTTTTTGCACCATCTGTACTTATTCCAACACATTTAGTCCAACTAATTTTGTTATCTTGCATAAATTTATTCATAACGTTAAAGATATCTTCTCCTGTTGTATGACCTAATAAAGGCTGGCAAAATAAAAAGTCGTCGTGAATTTCTTGGTTCTTTTCGTATCGAACAAACGCCATAAGATTTGCAAAATTTGTGATATCAGTGGACTCATCGACTTGTAATGCATAATAACGACTTTGAGAAATATCAGACAATAACATCTGTTTCACATTATTGGCCATATCAATTATTCGTCGATGAACTGTATTATTTGACAAGGGTACACGATCAAGAGTTTGTTTTGCTTTATCACCTATCATTACTTCTGCCATTATTTTGGCAGCCGGCTTGATTAAAGTTTCGCCAATCGTCTCCGCTGCACCACATTTCGCAATTAAAAGCGACTCGCGATACGAAGTTTCTAGGATTTTTTGATTGTCACCTCCTGTTAAACCTCTCATTACTTTTTGAGATTGATTTAAATCTTTGAGTTTATGTTCAAAAAATTCGATTGGTTTATCTTTGTATTCAAAGTGCTTTGTGTCAAAATGTCGCTTTAAGTTCGATGGTTTCATACTTTCATTGGTAAGGTTTTCAAAACAAATTACGCAAAGTGGAATGGGTTCCTTTTCATCACCACTCCACGAGAAGCCCAATTTAAGGTATTCTTTGTCGTATTTTCGAGTCTTCCTTGCTTTTTTGTTAACCGGTTTTGAAGAAGTTTCGTCTTCGATAATTTCATGAGTTGCGTTTAGAACATCCGGGTTGCAACCAGCGATCCATAATTTTGATTATTAGATATACACATTATATTTTATAAAAATAAATAAAAAACAATAAAACGTACTAAAGAAGGCATCTACTGAAGATTTTTACTTGAATGCCCGGGGAATCACGGCGCCCGGCGACTCGGCGCCAAAAAGTAACATATACAGGGTGTATCTGAATGACTGCAACAAACTTCAAGGGGTGATTCTTTAGTGAATTTTAAGGATACTTTGATATATGAACCATGGGCTCCCCTAAGGAGCTACACCCCTTCAAAAATGGCGGAAAATTTTGGTTTAATTTTTTTTTCTCAAAAACCATAAACGCTAGGAAAATGAAATTTGGGGAATAATATATGTTTAACTCATAATAGGGCACGTTTTGACCCTATTTGTACTTTCAACCTACGCTTCTAAGCTACTAAACGTAACCACCCCCTTTACATTTTTGCTAATATTTTTTTTATGCAGATTATTCAGAATTATATTATAATTCTTTTTCATTACGGTGCAAATAATTGATAAAAAAATGGGAAAAAATTTGATTTTGTTGAGTTGTTTTAGGTTGTAGCAAAATAACGGAGAGTTCGATTTATGTCATCAATATCTCAAAATGTTCGTTTGGATCTCTACTTTCATGTCCATATAGCTACAGAAGCGCACTATGCAAAATTAAAAATACAGGGTGTTTCGGTGACTCGGGGAACAAATTTAACCACATATACTAGAGTGAAAATGATGACGATTCATGTAAAAAAAAATTAGTAAAAGTCTTCAAATTTCAAAGATACAGGCCATCAAAGTTAGGAAATTTTAACACATTTTTTCAAATATCTTAAACACTATTTACAGTAAAGCGCTGAAATTTGGTACAGTATAAATCAATGTGATGCAAAATCGTTAGGCAATTTATGAGTTGGATCGGTCCGCGGGAACAATGCTATACAGGCTGTTCCTAAAGTTTGTTTGCTCAGAACTTTTTTATTCTATCATAACCCTACATTTATTTTTGCAGTTTCTAATAGTAAATTTAGTTTAGAAACTTTTATTACTCTTAGATAATATTGATAAAAATCACCGTTTTCGTGTTAAATG